GGATGGTCTCGATCTCCTGACCTCGTGATCCGCCCGCCTCGGCCTCCCAAAGTGCTGGGATTACAGGCGTGAGCCACCGCGCCTGGCCTCAGTTAAATTTTTAAAAATGCCTTCATCCTTCAACATTAATGTCTCCTTGAAATATATCTACATGGCTTACAGTGGATGGTTGCACAAACAGAACTGTGTTTTCTTCGTAGGTTCGAGATGTGAGAATGATATCTGACAGAAATTCAAGACGTTCCAAAGGAATTGCTTATGTGGAGTTCGTTGATGTTAGCTCAGTGCCTCTAGCAATAGGATTAACTGGCCAACGAGTTTTAGGAGTGCCAATCATAGTACAGGCATCACAGGTAATTTTTTTCTTGGTTAAGAGTTTGATTATTGATGGTGTTTAAAGCCTCTTGTTGCATGGCATACTGCTGTTGTGTTCTGTGACTGCTACTCATTACGTTGAGTCAGATGTTCTCAGGACCTTTTTTTTTAACTTTGCCTTCATTAACATTGATATAGTTTTCTCAAGACTGTCATCCTATCTTTTCTCCTTGTGCTTGAAATGTGATGATTTTGCCTTTTGTTTTGTTTTGTTTTTGAGATGGAGTCTCTATCACCAGGCTGGAGTGCAATGGCATGATCTCTGCTCACTGCAGCCTCCACCTCTCAGGTTCAAGTGATTCTCCTGCCTCAGCCTCCTGAGTAGCTGGGATTACAGGAGCCTGCCACCACACTCAGCTACTTTTTATATTTTTGGTAGAGTTGGGGTTTCATCATGTCGGCCAGGCTAGTCTTGAATTCCTGACCTCAGGTGATCCTCCTACCTCAGCCTTCCAAAGTGCTGAGATTACAGTCGTGAGCCACCACACCCGGCCTTGTTTTTGAGATAAGGTCTCACTCTGTTGCCAGGGCTGGAGTGCAGTGAGATAATCACAGCTCACTGTAGCCTTGACCTGCTGTGCTCAAGCAGTCTTTTCTCCCCAGTTTCCTGAGTAGCTAGGACTACAGGTGCATGCCACCACTCCCAGCTAATTTTTAAATTTTTTGAAGAAACAGGGTCTTGCCATGTTGCTCAGGCTGGTTTCAAACTTTTGGGCTCAAGTGATCCTCTGGCCTGGGCCTCCTGAAGTGTTTGGATCATTTGAACCACACTGCACTTTGACAGCATTTCATATTTTACTTTTTTGGCCGGGCGCAATGGCTCACGCATGTAATCCCAGCACTTTGGGAGGTTGAGGTCAGCGGATCACCTGAGGTCAGGAGTTCGAGACCAGCCTGGCCAACATGGTGAAACCTTGTCTCTACTAAAATAAAAAAATTAGCTGGGCATGGTGGCAGGCGCCTATAATCCCAGCTTCTTGGAAGGCTGAGGCAGGAGAATTGCTTGAACCTAGGAGGCAGAGGTTGCAGTGAGCCGAGATCACGCCATTGTACCGCAGCCTGGGCGACAAGAACAAGACTCTGTCTCAAAAAAAAGAAAAAAGAAAAAAAAATTACTCAAATTATTTCCTAATGTTGGAAGACAAACTTAGTAGATGTGGATTGGCCGGACCCAGGGCTGAGAAGTGGCATATTAAATGAAGTTTTTAATACGCTCTATAACAGGTTGTTACCTGTTGTAGAGCAGTACTACCCAATGTACTCTAGTTTGTTACAAGAGAAGCCTGTGTTAGAATGCAAATGGACAACTTTTTTTTTTTTTTTTTTTTTTGAGATCTTGGTTATGGAGGGATGACAGCTGACTCAAAATGTTGGCTTGGTACAGTTTACGTTATGGCATAAATGCCCCTTATTTTATCACAAACAACTGTACGCTTGGTTATACCAATCTCAAGAGTATTTTAACGAATATTGATTGTGTCTAACAATTCCAGGAAGCATTCTTCTCTGTATTTGGTATGTGTGATATCAGAATGCATCTTAAGATTGTTGTCAGAATGTAGGTTCATGATTCATTTTAGGTGTTAAATGAATCATGAACTGGCATATGCCCTGAAAACATTCTAAAATAAGCAGGGTGTGATGGGGTGTACTGTAGTCCCTGGCAGTCTCTAGTGGCTGAGAAGGAAGGATGATCACTTAAGTTTAGGAGTTCAAGACCAGCCTGGGAAACATAGTGTGAGACTCTTGTCTCAAAAAAAAAAAACTCTAAATAAAATTATTTTCATTGTGGTTTTATACACGCACATTTGGCGTTTCAACCATTTTTTTTAACCATTTTTAAAGTGTACAGTTCAGTGCTATTAATTACATTTATAATGATGGAGTAATCATCCCCACTAATCATTTCCAGAAGTATTCATTGTCTCATACAGAAACTGTACTCTGGAGGGGAGGGATTGCATTGGGAGTTATACCTGATGTAAATGACGAGTTGATGGGTGCTGACGAGTTGATGGGTGCGGCACGCCAACATGGCACAAGAATACATATGTAACAAACCATGTTATGCACATGTACCCTAGAACTTAAAGTATAATAATAATTAAAAAAAAAAAACTGGACTCTGAGATGGACTCTCGCTCAGTTGCCCAGGCTGGAGTGCAGTGGCGCAGTCTCGGCTCACTGCAAGCTCTGCCTCCTGGATTCATGCCATTCTCCTGCCTCAGCCTACCAAGTAGCTGGGACTATAGGCGCCCGCTACCATGCCTGGCTAATTTTTTGTATGTTTAGTGGCGGGGTTTCACCATGTTAGCCAGGATGGTCTCAATCTCCTAACTTTGTGATCTGCCCACCTCGACCTCCCAAAGTGCTGGGATTACAGGCATGAGCCACTGCGCCCAGCCAGAAACTGTACTCTTGAAGGTGTAACCCCCTAATTTCCTGCAGGCCCTTGGTAAAATGTAATCTACTTCCTCTCTATGAATTTTGCGTATCCTAGATGCCTCCTATTAAGTTGATCCTTGTGTAGGGTGGTATTTTTATCACTCTAAACTTTGACATTAGTTATGCAAATGGAAGGCGTGTGTCTTTAAACTGCTGTGTATTAGCTCTGTGACATGCATTTTTGTCTTCTAGGCAGAGAAAAACAGAGCTGCAGCAATGGCAAACAATTTACAAAAGGGAAGTGCTGGACCTATGAGGCTTTATGTGGGCTCATTACACTTCAACATAACTGAAGATATGCTTCGTGGGATCTTTGAGCCTTTTGGAAGGGTAAGTCCACAGTCTTCAATGAATCTTCAGTAGGTTGTTGATCTGAGTATAACTACATAATTTCTGTATGTCCTTCTTGTGTCTGGCATTGTGGTCTTGAGCTCAGTTCAGAGCAGCTTGGATTTTGTTCTGGAGGACTTGTCTGTGCTATATACCTAAACCAAGAGTGTCTAACTAGTTTTGTGTTAAGGAGATACAGTTTCCAAGACTGTCCTGTCACTGTGAGCAGTGAACCGTTTCCACTCAGTAATTTTAGCAAAAGGCATAAATTTAAAAGGAGCTAGATAGAACAAATAAAATTTAACTTTTAAAAATGGATTCACCGGCCGGGTGCAGTGGCTTACACCTGTAATCCCATCTATTTGGGAGGCCGAGGCAGGTGGATTGCTTGAGGTCAGGAGTTTGAGACCAGCTTGGCCAGTGTGGTGAAACCTTGTCTATACTAAAAATACAAAAAGAAAGAAAAGAAAAAGAATAATCATAGATATTTGAGAAATCTACGTACCATATAAAAAGGAACATCAGGGCCTGGCGCGGTGGCTCACGTCTGTAATCCCAACACTTTGGGAGACCGAGGCAGGTGGATCAAGAGGTCAGGAGATCGAGACCATCCTGGCGAACACAGTGAAACCCCATCTCTACTAAAAAAAATACAGAAAAATTAGCCAGGCGTGGTGGTGGGCGCCTGTAGTACCAGCTGCTCGGGAGGCTGAGGCAGGAGAATGGCGTGAGCCTGGGAGGCAGAGGTTGCAGTGAGCCGAGATCGCGCCACTGCACTCCAGCCTGGGTGACAGAGCGAGACTCCATCTCAAAAAAAAAAGAAAAAAAAACATCAGGGAACAGTTGATACTTAAATTAGTTACTTTAGAGTATGATTTGTCAAACTGTTGCTTAAATTTTGAGATGGGAGTTTCACTCCTTTCCCCTAGACTGGAGTGCAATGGCACAATCTCGGCTCACTGCAACCTCTGCCTCCCAGGTTCAATTGATTCTCCTGCCTCAGCCTCCTGAGTAGCTGGGATTACAGGCTCTGACCACCACACCCAGCTAATTTTTGGTATTTTTAGTAGAGACTGGGTTTCTCCGTGTTGGTCAGGTTGGTCTCGAACTCCTGACCTTAGGTGATATACCCGCCTCGGTCTCCTGAAGTGTTGTGATTACAGGCGTGAGCCGCTGCGCCCAGACCCATTTTAGGTTGTCAGTGCCATATGGACTTGTTGCAAGTACTCAACTCTCCTCCAAACAGCTGTAAGCTGTTAAGAAAATGAGTATGGGCAGGGCACAGTGACTCATGCCTGTGATCCCAGCACTTTGGGTGGCTGAGTTGGGTGGATCACTTGAGGTCAGGAATTCGAGACCAGCCTGGGCAACATGGTGAAACCTGGTCTCTGCTAAAAATGCAAAAATTAGCCGGGCTTGGTGGCATATGCCTGTAGTTCCATGTTACTACTCTGGAGGCTCAGAGAGGAGAAACATTTATAAAACAAGTCAAGCTGGAGTTGGTCCATAGGGTATATGTAGTTTGCTTACCTTTGCCCTAGAACAATTAGTCTGTATTAAGTGCCCAACTCCATTAAACATTAAACATTATGTAGAAACTTTAATAAGAAGCCCTTTTTAAAGGTTTAATTTTTTGGAGTCTGAGTCTTCTGCTGTCGCCCAGGCTGGAGTGCAGTAGCACACTCTTGGTTCACTGCAGCCTCTGCCTCCCAGGTTCTAGTGATTCTTCTACAGCTTCCCTAGCAGCTGGGATTATAGGTGCATGCCGCCACACCTGGCTTTTTTTTTTGAGATGGAGTATCACTTTTGTTTCCCAGGCTGGAGTGCAATGGCGTGACCTCAGCTCTCCGCAACTCCCGTCTCCCGGGTTCAAGCGATTCTCCTGCCTCAGCCTCCCAAGTAGCTGGGATTACAGACATTCGCCTCCACGCCCTGCTCATTTTGTATTTTTAATAGAGACAGGGTTTCTCCATGTTGGTCAGGCTGGTCTCGAACTCCTGGCCTCTGGTGATTCGCCCTCCTCAGCCTCCTGAAATGGTGGGATTACAGGCGTGAGCCACCGAGCCCAACCTTATTTTTTGTGTTTTGGTAGGGACGGGGTTTCACTGTGGTGCCCAGGCTGGTCTCGAACTCCTGAGCTCAGGCAGTCTGCCTACATCAGCCTCCCAAAGTGCTGGGATTACAGGTGTGAGCCACCAAGCCCAGTCTAAATGTTTATATTGTTTATTTTTTGCTGACTAATGCTCCTAGAATATCTTATCCGTATCATAGCCCCACTTCATACACGACTACCCGTTTTCTAGAGGCAATCCGTATCTGTTTTTTTTTTTAAACATCCTTCCATAGACATTCTGTGGCTTAGCAAATACTAGCAAATAAACTTTGCTTCTTTTTTTTTATAATTTTGGTAAAATATACTTAACATTAAAAGGTCCTTCCTTATTTGAGACAGAGTCTCCGTCTGTGACTCTGACTGGAGTGCAACAGCATAATGCAAGCTCACTGTGTAGCGTCCACCTCCTCAACATGCGATCCTCCTGTCTCCCAAAGTGCTGGGATTATAGACCTGAGCCAACCCACCTGGCTGGATGCTCTGTTTTAATTTTTCACTCCTTTTTTTTTTAATGGACAGCTTAATCGGGAGATTGTGTTACAATTCACTGATTGAAAGTAAACTTAATGGTTTTTAGTTAGTACCGTTCACAGAATTGTGCAGTTAACGCCCAATTCATTGTATATCGCCAAATTCATTGGAATAACTTTTAGTTACTCCATTTTTACAATTCTGCCTGATATAATTGGAAATTACTACTTGGTGTTATTAGCATAGTGGGAAGGAAACGTCGATTTTGTTTCTACCTTCTAATGGTAATTTACGATGGATTTCTGGTTTTCATGGTTTAGTATTGATGTAAAAGATAATCTTAGTTTAAAATCATGCCGGGCGCGGTGGCTCAAGCCTGTAATCCCAACACTTTGGGAGGCCGAGACGGGCGGATCACGAGGTCAGGAGATCGAGACCATCCTGGCTAACACGGTGAAACCCCGTCTCTACTAAAAAATACAAAAAACTAGCCGGGTGAGGTGGCGGGCGCCTATAGTCCTAGCTACTCGGGAGGCTGAGGCAGGAGAATGGCATAAACCCAGGAGGCAGAGCTTGCAGTGAGCTGAGATCCGGCCACTGCACTCCAGCCTGGGCCACAAAGTGAGACTCCGTCTCAAAAAAATAAATAAATAAATAAAATAAAATCATGGTTTTTTTCCCTACTCCCTCTGCTCCCCAATGCATAATTTCTTGCTTGGGAAGTTTCTAGAGTTTGTTTTTTTTGAGACCAAGTCTCACTCTGTTGCCCAATCTGGAGTACAGTGGCATGCTCTGGGCTTGTTGCAGCCTCTGCCTCTCGGGTTCAAGTGATTCTCCTGCTTCAGCATTCTGAGTAGCTGGGCGTACAGGCATGCGCCACTAAGCCCAGACAATTTTTATATTTTTGTTGGAGACCTGATTTCGCCATGTTGGTGGAGACATGTTTCACCTGGTCCCAAACTCCTGACCTCAGGTGATTCGCCTCCTTCAGCCTCCCAAAATGCTGGGATTACAGGTGCCAGCCACCACGCCCAGCCTAATTTTTTTCATTTTATAAATATAAAATTATAGTTTCTAGACTTCAAAAAGACTTCTTGGTGATGAGGTTTTGTGATGAGGATGAGGAGACTGGTAGATTTTTAAAAGCATGTCTCGGAATAAAGTAGTTTTGTACTCTGCTTTTGAGTTAAATAGTAATTATGCTTTTTAATTACAGATTGAAAGTATCCAGTTGATGATGGACAGTGAAACTGGTCGATCCAAGGGATATGGATTTATTACAGTAAGTATTTACCATAATTACATTACTTAGGTTTTTTTTTTTCTTTTAACTGTATTTGCTGTGTTGCTCAGATCAGTCTCTAGTTCCTGGCCTTAAGTGATATCCTACCTTAGCCTTCCAAATTGCTGGGATTTACAGGACTGAGCCTCTGTGTCTGATCAAAAAATTTTTTTTTCACAGCAAAGTTTAATATGCCCTTGTAACAAAAGGCAGGCACAGCTCACACATGAATGTGAAAACCAAATTACCACACTTAGGAACTCCTAAAATTTTTTGATCTAAGTTGCACAGTAAAAGTACAATAAAAGTACAATAATAGTTAATAATGGTGGGGAAGGCAGCATGTTTAATATTTTCAAGTGATTTAAATTAGTTTTTGTGGCTGGGCGCAGTGGCTCACGCCTGTAATCCCAGCACTTTGGGAGGCCGAGGCAGGTCGATCACCTGAGGTTAGAAGTTCGAGACCAGCATGGCCAGCATGGCAAAACCCTATCTCTACTAAAAAGTACAAAAAGTAGCCAGACATGGTGATGGGTGCCTGTAATCCCAGCTACTTAGGAGGCTGAGGCAGGAGAGTCACTTGAATCTGGGAGGCGGAGGTTGCAGTGAGCCGAGATCGCACCACTGCACTCCAGCCTGGAGGACAAGAGTGAGACTCCGTCTCAAAAGAAATTTTCGCACAGTTGCTACTTTTTAGTAAGCAGCGGTTACCATTTATTATATAATGAAAGTTTTTTTTTTTTTTTTTTTTTTTGAGACGGAGTCTCGCTCTGCCGCCCAGGCTGGAGTGCAGTGGCCGGATCTCAGCTCACTGCAAGCTCCGCCTTAATTAACTTGTTTTTTCATGAGCTAGAGTCTCGCTTTGATGCCCAGGCTGTAGTGCAGTTGAGACCAGCCTGGCCAACATGGCGGAAAACCCATCTCTACTAAAAATACAAAAATTAGCTGGATGCATGGTGGTGCTTGACTGTAATCCCAGCTACTCGTGAGGCAAGGCAGGAGAATTGCTTAAACTCAGGATGTGGAGATTGCAGTGAGCCAAGATTGTGCTATTGTGCTCCAGCGCTCCAGCCTGGGCAACAGAGTAAGACTCTGCCTCGAAAGAAAATAAAACTAAAAATAAATAAATATAAAATAATTTGGCCGGGCGCGGTGGCTCAAGCCTGTAATCCCAGCACTTTGGGAGGCCGAGACGGCGGATCACGAGGTCAGGAGATCGAGACCATCCTGGCGAAACGGTGAAACCCCGTCTCTACTAAAAAATACAAAAACTAGCCGGGCGAGGCGGCGGGCGCCTGTAGTCCCAGGCTACTCGGGAGGCTGAGGCAGGAGAATGGCGTAAACCCGGGGGGCGGAGCTTGCAGTGAGCTGAGATCCGGCCACTGCACTCCAGCCCAGCCACTGCACTCCAGCCCGGCAACAGAGCCAGACTCTGTCTCAAA